CCCTTCCCAGCTCCCCCAGCCCCTCCTGGGGCTCCGTTCCCTTCCCTGGACACGCTCCAGCCCCTCCGGGTCTCTCCTGCCAGGAGGGGCCCAGAGCTGCCCCAGCCCTGGAGGTGCCCCAGGCCCTGCCCTGGCCCTGCTGCCCCCAGAGCTGGCACAGCCCAGGGGCCTCCTGCCCACCTGGGCACACCTGGGCTCGTATCCACCTGCTGGCACCAGCACCCCCAGGAAATCTTCTCCAGCACCATTAAACCATGGCACCCTCTCTGCCAGCGCTGCACCTTGCACTGCACGGCCTCCTCGGGCTCAGGAGCTGCTCAGTGTCCCTTCAAGAGCTGCCAGAGGACCCTTCCCCCTGTGCCCCTGCCAGCCTGGGACAGCAGCAGCACACTCCTGCCTTGCCCCCAGCCAGCAGGAACGTGCCCACTGCAAACTGGAACCATCGGGATCCTGACTCCGTGGCTGGAGTGACCCAGCCAGGGCTGCAGAAGGCCACAGATCATCCTGTATGAAGCTGCTCCTGCTCTGCCAGCTCCAGGGACACCAGCTCCATCCCTGGGACACGTTGCCTCCTCCACATCCCCCCAAACCCACTGGCTCCTCTCCGAATCAACGGTGCGTGGCCAGAGAGCTTCTGCCAGGCACAGCTCAAAGGCTGAGGCACAATCAGGGACCGGCACAGGCTGCCCAGGGAAGCTGTGGCTGTCCCTGGATCCCTGGAAGTGTTCCAGACCAGGGCCTGGAGCAACCTGGGACACTGGAAGGTGTCCCTGCCCGCGGCAGGGGTGGCACTGGATGGGTTTAAGGTCCCTCCCAGCCCCATCTGTGAGGGTGAGCAGGTAACCCAGCTTTGGGAGCTGCAGAGGGCAGAGCACGCCAAGCCTCAGTGCTGACATCAAGGCTGGAATACGTGACCCAGTACGGAGGTTTGTGCTGGATCAGCCACTTCCCCAAGGCTAAAATAGCCAGGAACAAACTCCCCGAGGAAACGAGGCACAGAGGAAGCAAGGAAGGCAGCAGGGCAGAGACACAAGAGGGGCACAGACGGTGCCCTTGGAGCACTAAGTGAACCCACCCGCTCCTGTCAAAGTCTCCAGCGACTCAGTAAAGCCCCAGGCTCGGGGGCAAAGCTCCTGCTGTCCTCAGGACACAGCCCCATGAGAGCCCTGCTTCCACACTCCAGCCCTGTGCCCCTGAGCCAGGCCAGGAGCACCCCACCAGTGCCTAGCTGGGGACAGGGAGTGGCTGGTGCTTTCTGTGCTGTGTGGGACATCCCTCCTCAGCCCGGGCACCTTTCAGGGTTCTGCTCCCAGATCCAACTGCAGCAGCACTGCTGCCAGAGGTGGCTGCAGGAAATAACCTGGCAGCAGCTCCGGTCCCTGCCACACGACCCAGAAGGGTGCTGAAGTTGGAGACCCCCTCGTTCCTGCACAGCTGCTGAGAGGGAATCCCACCAGAAATCCCAAAAATCCCTCCAGCAGGTCAGGAAACAAGCTCAACACCCAACAGTCCATCCCTCTTGGAGCAAAAAAATTGTCTTTGTAGGAGGCAAGGCAGTCCCTTTGGGAGGCCTGGTGAGTGTTTTGATCACCTTTCTGCAGCACCCACACTAACCCAGGGCAGTTCCCTGCCTTTCTAAACATGCATTTTCCTGCTGAACCCCCACACAGCCAACCTTCCACAGGGAACCTCCTGCACCCTGCACTCCCCCAAGTCCTTTTCTCTCCACCTGTGAGCAAGCCTTGGCCACCCCAGCCCCCACGGATGGGTCCAGGAGGAGCTGTGCTCCCTGAGGGCCTCAGACTTGTCCTGATTGTCCCACCCCACGAGCCACCCTGGAAGGATGGCTGGAATGTGGGCCCAC